GTTTGTTAGAAAAGTGGTATGTATAAGCAAATTTTCAGATAAGCTTCCAATGAATCATTTTCATCATTTATTTGCCAAAAAAGGTCGTGGTACTTTATCTTTTTTTCACACCAAAGCCATTCACTAAAGTCTTTTTTCTTTAAAAAGGTTTTCAAATTTGTTAATCATTTGAAGTATGATTCAAATTGAGTGTTTCAAGTGTGAAAGTAATGAAATTAATTTGTTGGTTTTGTATTTTGCAAAACAATCGGAACGATGAAACGAAAACAATGTAAAACTAACGAAAGTCATGTGATGATTTTCGTTTTCCAGAATAATCAAAATCGTAAAGAAAAAATATCCTACGCAATAAGATGCCTCCAGTTCTTTCGAAATAATGAAAGTCTTGCTGTGAAAAGAACGCAGAAATAATGAAACTATTGTACAGATCTTAGTTTTGTAAAGTAATCAGAAAAATGACATGAAAATGATGTGAAACTAATTAAACGAATGTTGTTAGTTTACTTGCTGTAAAATAACAGCTTTTATGAAATGAAAATTACGTTAACATATCAAAACTAATGTAATGATTTTAATGTTTTTGAAGAAACTAAAAACATGAAATTTTTCGTAAGAAAATTTCGAATTCCATCATTTAAATGCAACTTTCTCGATTTTCAGCGTCACTCAGTAGCAACTAGATATAAACGATTCACTTTTGTTCTCGTAAGATTTTTTTCAAGAATATTATCAAGAGTAGCAAGAATAGCGACCTCAATACTAGTTCTTATTTTGTCGCGTTCCCAGAAATAGTTCGAAGATGCACTTTGTTTATGATAATGACAGGTTTTGGCCCCTGACGTCCATGACGATGTTTTATTATTTCAACTATTCAATAAACTTAACTGGCGCTGCTTTTCAACTTTGTTAGCGGTACGACTGAGAGTAGTTTTGATACATTCAAATTCATCTCGGACAATTCTTGTTATATCATAGTGTATGAATAATTTTTCGTCAAAAGATATTATATTACACTTTCGGTATTGCCAGATATATTCCTATAGAGCATTATTTTATTCAAAATATAGGTATTGTGACAACGTCTACAAGGTTTGTGATGTAGACTGATATGAGAATGATGAGATCTGGATCAATCAATAAAAAAGAAAGCCTTCCTGTAAATTTTTCAAAATAAATTGAATGACGTGTAATGATAAATAAAGAATGACAGTTATATATTGGTTTGGAAATTTTATAGAGTGCTGACGGATGTGAACGTGCGTGTGAGTTTTGATGAGAGTATGAGTGTATATGTGGCGAAGCTCTTGTTCGTATAGGTGGATCCGAGTGTGGATCTTTGGTAGTCTGTTTTTCTCACACATTTACTTACTACCCCACCAACACGATACTTTGTATTGTGAAATATACTAAAACTTGTCAGCACATGGAATTTCTTTTTACTTTTTTTTATCTCACATTTATCACATTTTCTTTGCTTTGCTTGTTAACTTGGTTCCTTTAAAATATCAGACATAAGCCATTTTAGCACCGACTAGTTAGCATACTGGAAAAAATATAATAAAACATTATTTACTACTTTTTCTAAAACTAGTGCAAAGTAAATAAATACGTATGGTATGATTTTGTTTGAATAAGAGATTAACTGACTTTCTTGCGTGGAACTACTAATGAGCACGGCTGGGCAGAAAACGCGTGTCGTAGAGACCTATTTTCATACATCTCACTACTAACTACCCATATTGAAGGCTTTTCCCTCTCTCTGTTTATCCTCTGAAGATGAATCTCTGAATCATCAACCAATATCATAGCTAGTGTGTAAAAGCGCAGAAAATATCAGTTGTTACTAGTGAAGCGAAACGGTAGCACTGTCGGAGTGGACTATTAGCTGAGCAGCTAGAAAAGTATAGATATGAAGTGGATAAGAGCAGTGGCTCTCCGTGTTTGCATAGGGCAACTTAACCTGAATTTTGAATAGCTGTATCAATCAGCTCTTTTAATCTATGCATTTTGATAATAATCTGTACGTCATAACGGGCATTGGTTGCATTCAGAAAAGCAAATTCGAAGTCATATTGACCTCGTACTTGATAATAAAGCTTTCGAATATGGGGAAAGTAATTCCACAGCGCCGAATCCATCGAACCTGACTCACCCACTTTCCACATTTCTCCGGGTATGTAGGCAGCCTTGTTTACGTAATAATCCATGATAATTGCATGTGCACCTTTGGGAAGAAATGGAACGGTAGATGAGACACCTCCACATGGTGTGATTAACACAGTTGTCGAATGTAGTTCATGCATTTGATTTCGGAATGGCATTCCTTTCCAATTGATGATATCAGTTTTGACTTGAGGATACGTTTGTCGAAGAAATCGTTCGACTTCTAGGAGATTTTTAATTCCTCTTGTACTTTCTCGATTTGTTTCCGTTTTATTCACCAATACAATTCGATGAGTTTTCGGTGGGCGACCTAAATCAACACCATGATGAATTAAAATGGCACTTCGATAATCATACAATATTCTTTCTTTGCCATGAGTAAAATGTTCTCGATCAGGTGAAAACATAGCTGTACCACCACCGGCCATTAGATTTTTGAAACAAACAAATGGAGTTGGGAAACTATTCACATATTCATCGAGAGAGACAACTTTAGCTGCATATGCGGGTACTAATTCATTGTACAGTTTACGAAATTTCGAATTAGCCGATGGGAAATTTTTATGCTCCATTAAGACAGCTTGTTTATGTTTATATTCACCGAGACGAACCATTGTAAGGAAAGGTGCTAAAATATCTTCCCAAATAACGTGTCCGGGATTATATCGTTTGACATGCCAATGTAGAAAGAGGACATGAGGCTGCATTAATTTGGTCACATTCACTGTTGGTATCAGTTCATTAATTATTGTCGGACCCCATGATTGGTATCGGCTGGCACGAGCAACAAGATTGACGAAGCCATGATCATTGAAGTGAAAGTCGTACAAATGACCATGTTTGGGTTCGAACAAGATTGGTTTTCTAGAAAAGTTCGGATGTTGATAAAAATGAAATAATTGCTTTGATTTATCATAACAAATATTGCGAAATGAACAAGTTCGGTACTGCCAATCATGCTCGTAATTCATATTTCCTGTACAATCAAACGTGGACTGTACATTGGATGTAATATGGATTCTTGGTTCTTCGACTGATTGTATTTTTCTTCTTTCGGCTACGTAGTCATTTGATTTTGCGAAATAGATGGTAAATAGATTAGCAAATAAAAGAGCTAGCACTAATTTCGAATGAAAGCGGCGAGGAAATTGTTTGAGTTTTTTAATCATAACTTTGAGCTCTTTCTTTGAGTTTTCAATGCCAGCTTGTGAAGTTTTTGCTCAATCAGCCGCTCTCTATGTTTAAAAAAAAAGAAAATCCAACATCCAACACAAAATCAAGTATATTAGTTACCTAATTAAGATTAAAGCTTATTCAATTTTGCTAAAGCTAATAAATTTAAAAATAGAAAAGAATTTATCACGCGTCCGCAAATTTTAATGTCGTCGTCTAGAAGGAACCTGTGTTTTGCCACCAAGAAAATTAAAAAATATGAGCAAAATCATATCACATCGAATGGAAATATTTTTCTGAACTTTTTCAATACTTGTTTTCTATTTACAGAAGTTGAAGTGAAGGCAAAAACAAATTTGTGCTTTCTCTTCTTTGATATCCATCAGATGCCTCGTAAGCAATGCGTCTTTGATTGTGATCATTTTCATGTCGTTCCTCGTCAATATTGAAATCTAATTTTCAGCAACGGATCCATCTTGAATTTCACTGCAAAAAATGAATTGAATTTTTGTCCTATAATGCTTAAATGGATATTTATAGGAAAAACATGCGCTTGGCATCAGCCTGTCACTTGTGAAGCTGAAAATATAATATTATTTGGCTTCATAGGCGGCAGAGTCATTAGGGCAGGGAAGGCTCAAACCTTCCTTAAAAGAAGGAAGAGGGAGACTTGGAGAGACTCATATATTTAATAAACAGTTATAGATGTCATTCTGAGTTTATGTTTAGTAAGTGAAAAGCTTTTGAACGAGAGTTGTTTCATGCTTTTATGGAAGGTACGCTGAAGCAGATGGTTAGTGACACATGTATACAACTATATTTTTTCAAGATCTGGACATATTACTACTAGTGGTCCATTGATCATGAGAAATACTCAGCACGTTCAACAAGTATATGAAGCTGGTATATCTTTTTCGATCACAAAAGCTACTCCGCTGCACTTTTATACAACATTTCAAAATAGTAAACGAGCATTAATCTTTTGAGAGATTCGATGTCAGCAGAAAAGTGCCGAAGCACATTTTTTCTCGCACAATAAAAAAGCATAAAACAGATGCAGCTGCTAACAACTGTGTAATTAGCACAAACAATATATCAATTAATTCAAATAAAAATGAAGAAAATGGAATTCTATCTCAAGAATATTTGTCATCAGCATTAATAGAAGTCTCCACCCTCATCACCACTAGAGTCAGTTGGCTCCAAAACTTTTAGACTCGGATTCTATAAACATAAAATATTCATACTCGAACCGAGCCCAAATGTACAGAACATTTTCACATTCGGATCTAGACGAATGAAAAGGAAACTGTCATACTCACGCCCAGACCAGGTCTAGATCCAAGTCTGGAACCAACCCGTTGAGCTCTACAGGCCATTCAGTTTATTTTGAAACAAAATGGAAAACTTTTTATTCTTTTATTTTCACACATTTATTGTAATAGATGTTCGATATGTGATCCATGAGCATAGTAAATTAATCTACAACGCTTTGGCCAATTCTCCAAAGCATGGTCGATTACATTCTGTTCAAGATTTGCCCACTCGTGTTTGATAGCATTTTTCAACCTATTTAACGTTGACACTTTGTGTTTTCTTACCCGTTCTTTTAAAATACCCCAAATCGAATAGTCCATTGGAGCAGCGTCTGAACTCTTAGGTAACTACTCTGTAGGTGTTATGACTTGAATTTTCTTTTCTTTCATACAACTAAGTGTTCCTTTCCCTGCATGACCTGGTGCATTGTCTTGATGAAGAATCATTTTCTTCTGTGTATCACCAGGAAATAAACGAGGAATATCATATTTAATAAATGGTTCTATTATATGTTCAATATAATATCGGCTAGTAATTGTTGAACCATGCTCAACAAAATGTAACTGAGTTTTACCATGTGTGCTCACACCGGCCTAAACCAACACAGCCACAGGATGTAATTCCTTTCGGTCGATTTTTTAACTTCTTCTGGTAATCCATCACTTCTGACATAATATATATCGCTAACACTTTGTCTGCCGTCGAGGTAAAACCATGCTTCGTCAGTAGTTACATAATTTTTATATTTTTCATTGAATAATCGACGATACATACGCCAAGCTCCAGATCGTCTCTTTTCAATGACATCTGGACATAAACGATGCACCGGCCTTTTTTTACGACATTTTGCATGGATAATATCATGAATAATACTAACAGCAGTACCAACGCTAATATTATATCTTACAGCCATTAACGAGATTGTTGGAGGGTTTTCTTTACTTATATATGACGTAATAAGACGTACGACTGCAGGTGTTGCTACATGACGTGGACGATAAAATTTTGGTTTTTGACCATTTAATAATCCTAACTGGCGCTGTTTTCCAAGCTTGTTAGCAATACGACTAATAGTACTTTTGGACCCATTAAGATTCATTTCAGATGATTCTTGTTGTATCACAGAATATGAATACTTTTTCGTCAAAAGATATTTGACGACCCCTTCGATATTATCAGATATTTTATTACGAGGGATTCGTTTATCTAAAATATATATACCATGACAGCATCTACATTGTTAGGTGTATAAACTGATATGAGAACCATGAAATCTATGTTAGTTAAGAACGAAGAAAAGCTGCATGCAAATTGTTTCAAAAAAAACTAAACGACCTGTAAAGACAATTGAAAGTGACAAAAAATTGAAGTGCTATCTACATAATGTAACATATATTGGAATAAATACATTTCATGAATATTCTACATTACTGGGTTTATCTTTGACAGTTTCTGTAACAACGACTATGGCTGAAAGATCTTTCAGCGTAATGAATCGAATAAAGACATATGTGTTATCAATAGTTACACAACAACATTTAAATCATGTCATCATTCCTCGTATTCAATAAGAAAAAATAAATGAATTGTACTTGAACAGCATCTCCGATTTTATTTTAAAAAATTAGGCTTGAAAAGGTGCTCTTAAGGATGTGGGTGTGGGTATGGGTGGGTGTGGATGTCAGCATGGGTGTCAGCGAGGGTGCCAGTGTGATTGAATGGGCAGCATATAGCACCCACCAACAGCCACAGCCACACCCACTCACACACACCACACCAACACTCATACACCCGCACCCACCCACCCAAACCTTACACCCACACCCGCAGTAATCTACTAGATCCGCGTGATACTGAAAATTTTCTGCTGCAGTAAGCGATATTCTGATATAGATTTGCAAAATGGTCAGAAACTCTTAACCACTAGAATTTAAGTGCATGCTGTCTGAAAGGCGAGTTGTTCTCCAGCGTGAGAAACGGACCCGACTTATTAACGCTGGGTACTTTTTGTATTCCTACGAATATTTTTTTCCGATTTTTTTTGTCTCAGTAAACAAGACTATGACCGAGCAGCAACTATTTATGCTTTATTTACTGACTAATTTACAAATACAGATAGAAAAGTTGGAAAAAGTACTAACAAATATAGCATCTACTGTCAACATTCGATAGTTTCTTTTTTTTCAAAACATGCATAGTAGTTACAGATTAAACGTTTATATTAAACTATCAGACTCCCATGACTGTATTATTATTGTTCAAACTTCTTTATTGTCTTTTACATTGTGATTTTGCAGTATTATATACTTGAATACGTGACATATGTATTCATATATTATAGTGATACCTTATTTTACGTTTATCTCCATCGAATTATGCTACTTAGGCTTGTGTTCATGAATTAGTTTCTATTGTATGCTGCTTGATTCCATCTCTAAAAGTTTCTAATTATCTGTCAAAATAAATTAAAAATGAAGTTAATGTCCGAAGTGATGCCTTTTATAGCTGATGATGAGCGTACAAAATTGACTACAAAACCGAAAATTTGTATTGTCGAACATTTTACATTAAACTGCAATATTTTCCTTTACTACATGGTTGTTGGTGTTTGTGACTTTAGTGCTTTCCTCAGGAAATAGCTATTAGAGAGAAACCAAGATTTCTTATGAAGCTTGATTCAAAGTTCTCGAGGTCTACGAATCTGGATTTCTAATCAGCGTCTTCAATTTTAATAAAGCGGTGAGAGATTCACACTCTGAGACCTCAAAAAACTCTACTAAGACTTTTTTAACAAAACCATTTTTTCAAAAACTACTTTTCATCCGACACAAAAATTAAAACAAAATGGCATTCATCTCACGAATCCCACTTGAAAACTTAAGTTCAAGCGAATTAAATATTAAGTAATAAAACTTAATCTAATTCTACGTTGAGTTAACTTGTCCACATTTTGCATTTTTTTGAAATTTCTAGGTTTATTCAATGCTAAAGTAATCTAGAAAACTGTACAAACCTTCTGAAGTATCATGAAAAATTGAATTCTATGCGTTAAATTCCACTGTCTCTAACTGAACTGTCACAGCTACTGACTAGAGGAGAAAAAAGCATTTCAAGATATCTCTCAATCTTATCTTTTCGCTAGTGGTAAGACGTAGACTCTCGATGGCAGCGGTCGCTATCGTTAGGTCACTCCTAGATACGTCACTAATTCGAAAACAATATGTGCCTCTTGGTATATGTATATGTTTTTGGTCGTAATTGAGAATGGCTACTCGTGGCATTGTGAAAATGAGTATACGTTGTGTCTTCCGTCATCGAAACCCGCGCTCACGTAGATCCGCTTGCAAACATACGAACCTACACAAACATGTACAATCGTACACCTGAACACCTAACACTGACACTAACACCCACATTAGACCAAAACAGTCTTATTCGAACTGTAGAAATGAAAACAGTTTTCTTGCCGCAATACATGAAAAAATTCAATTCATTCGTCTAAAGGATACAGAAACGATATTCTATTCAGTATTTTTTAAACCTTTCGCAATTTAGGTTTTTGATATAAAATTTAGGAAATATCTTTTATTCTTTTCAATCCTTCCATGTAACCTGCTCTAGGTGGAGTAAAAGAACAATCTGCTAAACAGATAACACTTTCAGATAGTAGTCATGTTCCGAAACATTTGGGATGTTGCAGAAAGTATAGCATATATATGTTTATGTTGTTATTCAATTAACTGTCCTTTGCTCTTAAACGTACTGGGATCATCATACCTGAGTAAATCCGATGTATTTGGCATCAATACCTCTGCATTGGATATTTTATTTTGCAGTAAACAACCATCAAGTCCAGCGTGTATTGATATTGATAATTCAACATGTGGTTCCTCGATGTTAGAAATAAAAGGGTATCCTATGCATATCATATACAATCGTGTTCC